CCCCAAAACCCCAAAACCCCAAAACCCCAAAACCCCAAAACCCCAAAACCCCAAAACCCCTTCATCTCACATGTATATTGACATTCATTTTATAATATTTATAAAATAATTATAAAAACAATATGTTCACATCCATTGGATCGAGACATTTGAAGGGATTCCTTGTTAAACCAACATCTGTGAGGTACATGTCAGGAGCTTCCATGATTAGGGACAAGTTCCAACAGGCATACGTTGAGAGTAAAAGCCATCAGCTAGAAGAAGCACCAAAAGACCCTCAAAATAAAGAAGAATATGGAGCTGGATATTACCAAAAGTACCAGAAGGGCTTGAAGAAGGGATATACTCATCCTTATCACTCAAAGGAGAACCCAATTCATGCATCTTCTATGTTGCACCAGCTCAATTTGCTTTCTGACTTAGTTGGTCCAGAGCAAGTTTCTCCTCATTATGAAAGTTTGAGCAGATCAAGAAGAGGACTCATTTTCTTGTTTGCCTATTTCGGAACTATCACTACCCTCTCAAGACTTGGGGGATGGGATCATAATGACTGGATCAGAGGGTTAATCTTCCACCACGAGTACCTCATCGCTCTCTATGTCGGTTATGCTGAGCTCAGGCATTTCACTTGGTTACCAGGACCAAAATTCACTATCTTCTATGACGTATTCTCTAAGTATGAGACAATGCAGTTGGCTAATCAGTGGAATGATACTGCTGAAGAGCTCTCAGTCCAGTTCTATCAGAGCACAAAGAATCAGATCGATTACTTCAATATTCATAATGAGTATAGATTTGTTAAAAAGAGATCAATGGTTAACTTCATGACCAATGAGAGACTCAACTTGGAAAAGCATTTCCATGAGAGAACCGTTTCTATGCTGAACCAGATCCAAGGATTCGAGCAACAAAACATGAAGAATAAGCTCAAGAGTGTTACCCAGGAAGCCTTCGATGCCACTCTCAGAAAGGTTGAATCAGACCCAGATGATGAGATTTATAACCAATCCTTTGAAGCTGCTCTTGATGGTATTAGAAAAGGAAGAATGGACTTCAAAACGGACCCAGTTCTTCCAATAATGACTGAAGAACTCTCCTCTCGTGTCTCAGTTCTCAAGAACCTATCTCCTGAGCAAGAAAGTAGACTGTTATCTATCAACGAGGACCAAAAGAAGGCTGTTGCTCAGAGTGACAATGCTCAAAGAGATTCTTATCTCAGAGCTGTTCCACAAATCTCAAGCCAGGGCTTAAAGAACCACGCAAAATTCTTGAAATTCGTTCACTACCTGACCAACATTAATAGAAGGGAGATCAAGTAATTATGAACAGAGGTGTTTTCAAGAATATTCCGGTTTTAAGGGGTTTTGGGGTTTTGGGGTTTTGGGGTTTTGGGGTTTTGGGGTTTTGGGG